GCGCGCCGCTGACGCCCGCCTGGACCGCGGGGCCCTTCGAGACGCCGGTGTTGCACAGTTTGCAGAGCCGCGCCGGAGCCCCCCTGCCCATGCCACGGGGCCCCAGCGCAGGTAAGGGTCGAATGGGGGCGTGGGGGAAGCAGCTACCTCCAGAAGAGCTGTTTGGGAGGGGGAAAGGTTCCTTTCGGGGTGCTGCCGGGCAGCGGGAAGGAGTCGCAGGCCTGCGTGTGTGGCAGGGCGACTTAGGTAGTGCTGGTGGGGTGTGTGTAGTTTGCGAATGGTCCGCGTTCCTGCCCGGGCTTCCCAGTGGGCCTTGGAGAAGGAAGAGCCTGTGGCCTGGGGAATCCTAAGTGGTTTCGGTATGTGGGAGCAGAAATGGGCCTGACAGGAGGGAGCGCCCCCAGGCCCTCGTTGGGTGTCAGTGGGTGAATTTCCTTGGGAGGTTAGTTGGGCACTGGATTCACTGTCTCCCTCCAATTACAGGAGAGTGAGCACCCAGCCTCTCCCTGTTTAACTCTTGAGCAGGGAAGAATGGTGGGTTTGGGGTTTTTTTTCTTCCAGGAAAAGAGTATTTGAAGAAAGGACTTAGGGACAGGCTAGATGAGAGGGCTGGTGGATGGGCTAGCTTCACTTATATAGGACTGCCTGCCCTGCTGCCCCTCAAGGGTAATCCGCTGGGATTTGGGGATCTTGGAGGTCAGGGAGACTTGAACCTCCATACGCTTTCCTTTCCTGAGTATTCAGTACCCAGTTTAACTTCCAACTCTCACTCCCAAGTTCAGGGGGCCCATTTGGGGTACACTGGGGAAACAGCCCTCTGAGATACCGGGTCATAGTACTTCTGTGAAGTCTTCTCTTTTGCCCGTGTGTGATCCCTGCTGGCTAGACAGACATGGCCGCATGTCTGCTTTTCACATTCGCAGGAGTCCTGGGCGCTTTCAAGGCCTGCTCATTTCATCTTCCACTTAGCAGCCTCCTGTGAGGGAAAACGAGTCTTTTCTGTTTGTTTTTTGAGGGGAGCTGTGGGGAGCCCTTCGTGTCCCAGACATGGCAAGGAAAGAGGGGGCATGTTAGCTCAATTGCCCTACCCAATGCCTTGGCAGGCTAAAGAGCCTCAACCTTCCCTAAATTTAGAGACCCTGATTAGTTAGCGTCAAGTAGGGTGCTGTTAACCTTGAGTTCAAAAGACACACCAGAACCCTGAAAGTGCTGAAACTTAATTTGAATAGCCCCCAGCTTCTAACGTTGGGCTGCTTGGTAACCAGTGCTGCCCCCCCCCCCCCCCCAAAGCTGGCCCTGAAGACTTACACTCTGTGTGTGGAGTGACAGTGGTGTGCACTGTTATGGTTAACCTTGTGGATTAGAGACCTGGCTGGGAGAGCGCAGGGGGTTGGCTATCAACCCTTCCAGATGCATAGGGACCCAGGTCTGGCATCCAGGAGCAGAGAGACCAGGAGAGGGCTCTTCAAAGAACTGGAAGTCTTGTGTGTGTGAGGCAGCTTTTGTCTTGCTGGGAGTCTGAAGGGTGTGGGAGTTGGATGGGGCAAATACCGTTTAAACACTGCCTTTTTCTTGACACCCCTTAGCTTGGTCTCCATATGCCTGTCCCTCTCCCTAGTCTTCAGCATGTCACATGACTGAGAAACAAGGGTGCTCCAACAGACAGACTTAGACGCTGCTGGTATTTAAAGTTAATTGGTGCTGTATGTTTTTTAAAAATGAAACCCAAAACTTGCAAGAGGGTTGGAAACACCCAGATTTGCATAAAGGCTCTATTTAGCAGCCCTCTACAAGGACTCAGACAGGCTTTTTTTTTTTTTGGTAGGGAAGCAAATTACCAGACCTTTGCTTGTGATCCCAGGTGTTCTGTCACCATTGTCCCTTATTTTCTTAACTAGAATCTGTTTCTCCACCTTTTTTTTTTTTTTTTTAAATCACCGACTTTGGGAGGCAAGGTCTTTAATTGGTTGAGCAAACACCAGGGCCAAAACATGAGCACTGGGCCATGTGGAAGACTCTGGGAGACCCGCCCCAAACACCTCTCCATGACCCTGCTGCCAGGTGTGTGTGTGTGTCCTGGGTAAGTCCCAGGGCCCGGCACCCAACTAAGAACCTACTCAACCTTGTGTGTGTGTGTGTGTGTGTGTGTGTGTGTGTGTGTGTGTGTCCTGGGTGAGTCCCAGGGCCCAGCACCCAACTAAGAACCTATTCAACCTACTCACAGCTGCTGGGATAACACAGGCTTAGAAGTCCTTTCCGCTGAATTTGTAACACCCTAGGATTACCCACCCCAAAAGCCCCCGTTAGAGGATAGATGATGTTGAATAAGGAAAAACTGGTGAACAAGCTAAAAATCAAATTTTGTCCAATTGATTACAAAACAACAGCCTCCACTCCCCACTGTAGTCAGAGCTAAAGGATTGTAGCTGCTGGGAGGGGTAGGAAGAGGGTGGCAGCACTAGATTTGACTTAGTAAAAAAAATACGCACCCCAGATTTTAGTTCGCCAAAGAAGACTGACTTTTGTCTTTGGGTTTTCAAATGGCTTACTAGACCCCGTTGGGAGTTGGTAGGAGTCTAGGGTTTTCTAGGGAATGCCCGGCTATATGGAGAGGGGCTCTGATAGGTAACATTTTAAAGTCAACAACAAAGACAAATACCTTGTTTAACTTCAGCGTCCTTGAAGTCCTGAGCCTTTTACTGATTAGGGCAGTCAATAGTGGCTTTTAGGGTGGAGAAGAATAAATCTTTGTGATGTGTTGTAGTTGCAGTAACCCCAGGACAACTTTGAACTTTGAATTACGCAGGACGCAAGTTTCTTTCAAACTAGGAAGGAGACTTGCTTTGTAGCGCAAATAGTACTAATGGAATTAAAGTGCATCTGTGTTAAAATATTTAAATATTTTTACAACAAAAGGTGGATGGTAAACCCTAAACTGCAGGGGAATGGGAGGGGCTAGAAAGGCACACTGCTATGAAATCCTTATACTTCTCTAAGGTGTGATGTTTATGTACTCTGGAAATTGACTCAGCAATATACCTTAAAGAATGCTGATTCAAAACAGAATTCGAAAGAGGGGAGTCACTTATTTTTTAATGTACATTTAATGAATAAGCACACATCGCATTTAGGTATGTTCATATTTAAGCTACTTGAGGTGATGTAATGAGTGTTGCAACTTTCAAGATTTTTAAAAGCAGATTTAGATTAGTTGTAGATTTTCAAAATGAAACTGATAATAAAATAGCAAAACAAACATTTAAAATCCATTGCATAGGTTGAAATTTTAGTGTAAGGAAATAGGGATCTTTATTTAAGCACTGGAAAAGTCTTAGTTTAGTGATTTTTCTCAATAAAGTATCAATTATATGTGGACATTTTTCAGATAGAAGCAATTAGGGGATTAACATAAAACTTAATATTTGGTGTCCTAAGTAGTATGTGCGTTCTTGCCCCCCCAAACATGAGTAATATCTAATCAATTGACTTAAGTGTCCAAGGAGAATATTTTCAATTAAAGGTGTCCTTAAAAAAAACAAACCGAAGAAAGGGCTTGTGTAAGAAAAGAGTCTCAGATATTGACAGTGCTTAAAAAAATTAGCTGAGATAAAACTAAATAAAGCCGACCAAACTTTTATCTCTGGGTATTTGTCGCTGGACTGGAAATTAATGGGTTTGGCAAGTGGCATATTGTGATTCTAGTGAATTCCAGTTTCGGAAAAATCTTGGGGTCTGGGGAGCCCAGAGCGACCTCCCCAAGGAGAGGAGGCCCTTGATTTGGGGACTCTGCTTCCGTTCGGAAGTGTCTATTGCGCTCACCCAGGGGGTGCAAGAAGTATGGGGCAAATGGTCAAGCGATCAATGGCGAGGGACTCAAACGCCCGGAAAAGCCGGTGGGGGATCCCCGGCCCAGCGTCTCCGCGACTCAGGGGAGTGCCCTTGGGGGCTTCAGGGGGCACAGCCGCGCCCCGGGAGCCCCCGGGGAGGGAGGGCGGGCGGGGCGCCCCTGACCCCGACCTCTGTCCGCAGACCTGATGGAAGACCTGCCCGAGAGTCGCGAGTGCGTGAACTGCGGCTCCATCCAGACGCCGCTGTGGCGGCGCGACGGCACCGGGCACTACCTGTGCAACGCCTGCGGCCTCTACAGCAAGATGAACGGCCTCAGCCGGCCCCTCATCAAGCCCCCCAAACGCGCGGTGAGTGGGGGGCGCGGCCCTGGCGCGGGGAGCGCCCCCAGACCTCAGCCGCCCGCCGGTCCCTGGGTGCAGGCTGCCCCGGCGCCGGACTTTGGGGGAGGCGAGGGCGGCCTCTCTGCACTTGTAGGGGCAGGGCCAGGCGGGGGCGAGACGTTCAAGTACGAATCAATTCCATCTGAGGTAGCGCAGCGGAGTCCTTCTGCAAGGATCCGGAAGAAATTGGTACGATTGGCAACCTCTAGGGAGAAAACTTGGGTTCCGATTGAGGGCAGGTGAACGAAGGAGCCCGCCTCTTCCGCGTGCTCTTGCGAGCGGGGTTCTTGCAAGAGGCGTGTTGTGTGTAAGCACCGGGTCCGTCCGTCACGCTTCCCTCCGAAGAGAATAAGTTGACAGCGACCCAACTCGAAGCACAAAAACAAAACCCTTTCACCCAGCCGGCCCTGTGGTTCCTTCCATTCCCCGCCTCCCTTTGAGCCTCAATTCCATCTTTTGGAATAACCTTATTGCCGGTGAAAATCCGTTTACTATAATCACTGTTTTGAAATGTCACAACTAGAGGGGGAAAAAAATCTTCTAAGCTCAAGTTGAGGGTTTGCACCAGTTTGAGCACTTTTTACCTTGCTTTAAAAGTGGGGATTCTGTCTGTAGTTGTGTGTATTAGCAGGACAAGAGGGTATTTGCTGTTCTGGTGATTAGAGAAAATTTAAATGCTAAATGTCCACAGACACCACTGTAAAGGTGACCTTTGTTTAGTCAGTCCTCATATTGTTACCTTTTAAGTAAAATTATTTTACAGGGAACTGCTAGACGTCAAGCATTCGAGTAATTGATTTAATTATTAGACTCTAATTAGCAGGAACAAATGCTACGCATGTTGTTTGTGTTAAATAGATTAGAGGGAAATTGCATCACAATGTAAGTCTGACACCTTAAAGAGAAGCGATTAGTTTTATGGTTGTTTTGTTTTTAATGCATTTAAAATAAAGTGGCTGAGGTTAATTTAATGAGTGCATGTGTAGTTGAATTTATTACAACCTCCCTCCGCTGAACATGTTCTTCAAAGGGCAGCCTTAACTTCAGCGCGACTCCGCGGAGTTTCCATTTTGCTTCCATGCATCATATTTTACAAGATGAAAGTAGACCATGGAAAATGTTACAAGGAAGTTCCTTGTTGAGTGAAATTTATTTGGGCTGAGGAGAAAGGCAAATTGAGCTCTGAAAGATGAAGTCTTCTCAAGGTTGGGTGAACAGCCGGTAGCATAGTAGCCATTTAAATGCAAGTTGCATTATAAATTTGGTTTAGTGGCGTGCATTTAGATAGTGCCATTTGTTTTGTGCCCTTGTGGGTAAAAAGAATTGTTGGTGGGGAAGAAAACCGTTTTTAACATCACGGAACCCATTAGTTTTCCTTCTGTGTGGCAGGTGTCCTGGCAGCGGCCAAGGTCAGCCAATATGCTTTGTAAATGGGCTATAAATGATACCAATTGAAGGGTGTGCCCCTATCAATTAGCGCTCCTTGTAGACTTCTTATTTATGGGTTTGATGGGCCTAGCTTAGTTCTCAGAAACAGAATGTTTAACCCAAGTTTGTTTAGCCAGCAGTACAGAACCAATTGCTGTGAATTTGAACTTGTAACACATTGCAAAATACGAGGTTTATGGTGTAACTTGAATTCCTTGTCATTGATGAGTGCAACTGAGATCACTTGCCACAAGGAACTTTTATGACCCATTCACCTTCATTTCACATGTTATGAGGAGTGGCTTCTCTTATGATCTGCAGTTGACAGTCATAAAGGTCTTTGTTATAATGGCAGATTCTGATAACAAGTTTACCTCACATTGGCTCCAAATTCCATTGGAAACTGTCATAAATGGCTTATTTATAAAATGCACCTTCTTGCCCCCTGGTTCACTGATTTCACCTTTTAAAGAGAAAGGCGTGTTTTCAGGGGGAAGTGGCTTTCTTTTGACCAAAAAAAGGAGAAAAGGCAAAACGGAGAAGCCCATGTGTAAGTTTTTAATCACAGTCGAGTCAATTTGGACTCATTTGACTCATATCAAACAGCCCCTGTGGGCTTCTGAGATTCTTAGCCCTTTATGGAAGAAGAAAGCCTTGTATTTCTCCCATGGAGGCTGGAACTGCTGACCTTGTGATCGATAGATAGCCCAACACAGAACCCACCAAAGCAAGGTGAAATGTACAGCAAATTCTGGAAATTGAGTCCCCTTTAATTAAAGACATAGACTCACCACGCATGAACATCTGTGATTAGAGGGCCAGGATTTCCAAATCCTTTGCCTACCAACTTAAAAACCAAGATAAATTGAATCTTACATTTTTACAACTCATGTCCCATTTTATTACTTTAGCAGTGCTCTTCCCAGACAAGAGTTAGAAAAACCCAGGGACACTGGGAAAGCCTTCAGCACTACCCCATTTCTAAGTAAGGGCTAAGAGAAAAAGAATCTGACTTTTGGTGACAGAATATGCTTGGCTAACAGAAATATATTGCAAGAGTGCTTTGTCAAAATGGTGAAAACAAGCATTAACACCCTGAGTTTTTCACCACTTGCTTTTTATTGAAGTCATAATGGCACCTTTATAATGGTTAAATCTAGGTAATTTAAAGATAAATTGCTTGGTTTGCTATTTGGAGGAAGACAATTTTACCAGCATAACTTACCATTCTTTAAAATTCTCACATGGTTTTAGAGGAAATTCCCTCCTGGGGTTAGAGGAGCTCAGGTAGCCCGGGGCTGCTCACTGGCAAACCACAAGTTCCGCAGCGGTCCCAGCTCACCAACCCCTTCATGGAGCATAAGGAGGCGAGGCTTCTGCTCCTGGAAGATTGACGGTGTGGGAAACCCTGCGCAGGGCCATGATGAGTCAGAATGGACTGATGGCTGTGGGTTTGGTTTCCTGTTGCTTTAAGGTTGTTATGGGCACAAAGGGAATGTGGAAATGAGGGGTCAGGGGTCATATATTTGGCTGCTCTGGCAGGCCGTTACTATTATGGAATGTATTAAAATATATTTCTTTAGGAAGTTTTAAAAATAAGATTTCAAGGACCACTTCCATTAACATACATAAAAACCCACTATGACAGACTCACAGCATCTCCTTCTGGTTTCTGAAACTAAATCTTTACAGGAGCAAAACAGCCTCGTCTTTTCCCCCAGGAGCTGCTGGTGGGCTTGAACCACTGATTTTTTTCATTTAGCAGTCCAATGTGCTCAACCCATGGTGCTACTATTAACAGGCATACCAACGGCCATTGAGTTGGTTCTGACTGAGAGCCACCTAATACAGGGTTTCTGAGGTGACAACTCTCCTTTTTAACACACATTCAAAAAAAGTCTATGCTGTAGTGATTACAAGATTAGCAGTTTGAAACCCCCAACCAGTTTTCAGAATAAAGACGGTTTTCTCTCCCATAAAGAGTTACAATCTTTACCCCATAGGGGCAGTTCTTCCCATTCCTATAGGGTCACAGTGGAGACTACCTAAAGCCACTTAGCGCCTGCCTCTGTGGGTGGTTTGTGATTTAGTTTTGTGACCCTGGGTGATGAGGGCCATTCACTGGGAAGCAGGAAGGACACTTTGCTGCTCGTGCCCAGTTGTATTGTTGTTTTGAAATTAATCCTTCTTAGAACGATAAGTACATAGCCTTAAAGTAGTAGCAGTAATTAGGGCATTTCTAGATTGTTGGGGGAAGAAATCCTTAGAGAGGCCTTTCAATATCCTGATGCTAGTAAAATAACATTGGAAGTGGAGTTTTGGGGGGTCAACCCTATAGTTGCTTCTAAATTCTAGAATTTCTGGCACTCTGGCGCAAAACCAATGCTTGGGATGGAGCGCACTAAACTTCCAAGTATCTTGTTTCAGTAAGGTCAACCTAATTAGTTACCCCTCACGGGACATTTTATTGGTAATAAACCCAGGAACATGCTTGTGGACCACAACGTGGTGAGACAGGGAAACGTCTATATAAATGTGTTCTGTGTATGCTCATACTTCTCTTGTGTTGTTCTCTATCTAGCCTGCATCGCGGCGGCTTGGATTGTCCTGTGCCAACTGTCACACCACAACGACCACTTTGTGGCGCAGAAACGCCGAAGGCGAACCTGTGTGCAATGCTTGTGGACTCTACATGAAACTCCATGGGGTGTGTACTTGCATTGGGTATCTGGTTAGTGCGAGGTGACTGTCCCGGAAGTTCCCTGCAAATATAAGGGAGAAACTTGAATTTCTGAAAGTCAAATACACATTTTATTGAATTTAAGATGCTATTATAACATTCACTATCTTCTTACTGGAAAAAACCAGTAAACTAGCAAATTAAACTCACATATCCATTATGAGACATACCATTTTAGAAATACTAAGTGTAAACAGTTTGCCTTTTGCACTATAGAATCAAAAGCCTTTGATAGTCGTCCTCTTAAATTTTTTTTTAAATTGAGCACACTTGAAGAAAGCAAGTGGGAACCAAGTAGCAACACAATAGCTTTTATGTTTTGACCTTTGAAAGTATCTGGGAGGCAGTTAAATGCATTTGGACAACTTAAGAATTGTAGTTAGGAAAATGCTACACTCAAAGGATCGCCCAAATATAAACACATCAATCTGATAGAGAAAAATAACCTTGAATCTGTAGTAGGATGAGAACAAATGCTGTGTTTGAGGTAAAAAGTGTTTCTTTAGTGACTTCTCTACAATGGAAATTATTTCAAACAGTAAGCATTAAATTGAAGCAATAAATACCCCGCCCCCCCCAATCATCCCAGTTTCTCTGACGGAACCCACACTGAGAGAAGTTAGTTGTAGGCACTTACTCTATTGCATGTGAGTAAAAAAAATCAGATGAAGGCTTTTTACTCTTTGTAAGAGTTCGCTTCAGCACCACAGAGGCGTTTCTACCTTGTCCTCTGGTTACTATGTGTCTGCATGGGGTTTTTGCGTTGTTCTTTTAAATGAGGGGGTCTTGGGGCTAGTGCTGAATGTTTAGTTTTCCTCATGATATTTATTAAACTAAGACCTATGTGGAAAAAAACCTAACTTTCAGGTGCCTCGGCCACTTGCTATGAAAAAAGAAGGAATTCAAACCAGGAAACGAAAACCAAAGAACATAAATAAGTCGAAGGCTTGCTCTGGTAAATAAAATAATAGTTAATTGCATTTTTTACAAATTATATTTGCCAACTCGAGTGGCACGTATGTGTATATTTACAAGTTAATGTTGGCTTTTGCAGGTAATAGTAATAATTCAGTTCCTATGACTCCAACTTCCACCTCTTCTAACTCAGACGACTGCACCAAAAACGCTTCTCCTACCACGCAACCAACAGCCTCAGGGGTAAGGATATTTCAGGGGTAAAGAGTGTTTTTTTAGAGGAAATTAATTTAAATGTAAACAAAATGACAAATTTAAGTACTTTACACCCCTCTTAATTAAGCTGGATATCACTTTTGTATGGTTAAATTAACTTAAAGCAAAAGCCTGAATCCGTTTTGGTTGGAAGGTCTTGCTGGCTTCTTTTTAAAGGTCATTATTGGGGGTGCTGACAGTCATCCATATATCAGTTGTATCAAGCATATTTGTACCTAGGTTGCCATCAGTATTTTCTAAGCATTTACCTTCTCTTTGAGCCCTTGGTATCAGTTCTTCTTTTTCCCCTTCCTCTCCCCCCTCCCACCCTGGTGACCCCTTGATGTCAAGAGGTCTTGGTGTTTTTATTTGGTCAGAGTTGTTGCGTGCATGTTTCTAGTAGATGAGCAAAAGTACTAAGCCCGTGGTTCACTTTCCCCAGGGATGATGGCTTTTGAAGTTGCTTTTGCATTTTGCCTCCAGCTAGTTTTCCTTTCTATTAACCCCTGGCGAGCAAAGCCCATCAATGATCCTTGATCACTGATGTCCCATTTGAGGAGACCCTGACTTTTCTGAACTCTGGAGGATGTCAAGGGCCTTGAAGATCATAGAACTAGGTTCTGTGTAGCTATTCTGAAGACCAGGTTTTCCTTAAGCAGAGAACATTTTGATCCTCCCACCTTATTTTCAAACTTGTTCCAGCCTCCCAAATCATTCTGGAATACTCTTTAAAAAGAACCAGCCCTCAGTGGAGATCCAAGGGAAGGGTCGGGGCAACTGTCTTTAAAAGGTGCCCAATGATCTTTTGGATTGTGCCAGACTAGTTAGGATTTAAATCCCTGCTTTCCTACTGATAGTTTCCTACATGTAGTTTTCTTCTGGATTTGAGGTGGTCTCCAGAGGGTGTGGCACTTGGACATTTTCCAGCCAATGCCCTGGGTAAAATTTAAATCACTTCCCTGGAGCTGTCTGTGACCTAGGGTTTGGGAAACACAGGTCTGGTATTTTTATTGGCTTGAGTAAACAAGATAATTCAATACTCCAAACCAAAATTCAAAACTTGCAGAGAAGTGGTTTTTGATCATCTTTGTCCTATCACCTAAGTTTTATCAGAGTGAATCAAGAAGCTTGTTTTACAAAGGACACTTGCAGTTGCCATTACTATTGCAGGGCGCTGCCTTTGTAATGCTCTATCTATAGGATATTAATGTTTCTGGCTTTTTATTAAAATAGACCCTGTAGGGCAGGATTTTTTTTAAGGCAGGTTAGGTGCAATTAAAAATGAAAGGATGTCAGGTGGTAAACAGAACACATTGCAAGTGTGGGGATGGGAAGACCTAGGATTACTTTACAATATATTCTTTGTCTTACCCCCAGGCCTAAATGAGGCAGAAGCAAAGTTTGGGTTTCCCAGAGCCCCGAGGCCTCCAGTGCGGGAGTTGAGTCTGTCCTAGCTGAAGTGACATTGCCCTCAGACCTGGGTCACCTTGTTGGAACAGTAGGGGCGGGGCGGGGGTGGGGGGCAAGGCGTAATTTGCATGACAAATGGCACAGAAAGAACTATTTACCTAACAATCACTTGGAAGCTTTGGTGGGTGGGGTCTGTTTTGCTACTGTGCTTTTGTGATGTGAAATTTCAAGATTGGCGATTATAAATCCAGTCAGTTGACCTTCTGGGGAAGAAATTCCTGTCTTGGGAAGGTTTGTGCCCAGGCCCGGCAGAAAGTGGCCTTTGGGAAGTCTAAGGTGCTCTGCACGGCCCATTCTGGGCCCTGGGGTCTGTCTAGGTGCATCTGAGGATCCTTGCCCAAACTCCGGCTCTTGTTCCTAAAGTGCATACATTCCCCAGGAAAGGGCTCGCCTGGGAAAAGGCAAGCTGCAGGTGGCTGACCTCTGAGGGGGCAGTTTCCTCCCAGAGGCAGTAGACAAAGCCAACCAGGATTTGAGAGACTGGGGTCTTAGAGAATTGGGTAGCCCATATGTTCTCCAGCCAGAGCCGTGAAGGAGGCTGGGTCTCAGGGTAGGGGTGGAGTTTCCTTGCCAGCCTGACATCTTTCTCTCCTCCCTTGCCATGCGGTGATTTCTCCAGGCTGGGAGCAAGCACCTAGATTTGTGGGTGTTCTCTTGCAGGTGAACCCATAAGGTGTGATTCCAGAAGAGCCCCTATTGGATCAGGTGGCTAGTTGTGTGGGACCAGGTCTACTATGCAGAAACCAATTTGGCGGCTGCCATGGAACTGCAGTCCTGAGAATCATTGCTGGGGCGTTGCTGTTTCCACAGACCATCACTGAGCTTGCAATGTGCCCATGGGCCCGTTGCTGCCGCTGCCCCTGCCCCTTCTGTTGGCTGGGCTCTGAGCCCCTCTCAGCAGTGCCAGCTGGGGAGAAGCAGCTTTTGGGAATGCTGCGACTGGCAGGAGCCTTTAAAAAGGACTGCTAGCTGTTTGGAAGTGGATTGTGGGAGCAATTGCACAATTCTACTTGATGTCGCTAAAATATGGAATGATATTATATATGTATTAAATCCCAACTTGGGGGAAAAAAAGGACTGCTTGCTACAGATGTTTTATTTTCCTGTTTGGGACCTGGTGTGTCATACTGGAGGGCAACTGGTTTTGTGACTTCTGCCTATAGGATCCAGTGACAGGTTGGAGGTGATGAAAATGTTATTTTTGCATGGCAAGGCTGTATGCTGTGTTCTTCAGGTGGTTGATCATTGATCCCTGGTGCCCCTTGTGCCAGACGAGGCGGCATGAGGACTGAAGGGTTAGCCTAGATTACTAGGGGCAAACTGAGCTGCCCGATGAAGGAAGAGCATATTCACAGTGGAAGTTGGGCCCTGGGCTTGGAGGAGGGGGATCACTCATTCTGTCCCTGCAAATGAAAACATAATAACTCCACGATTGCTGCTTATAGAGGTCCGCATGAACCTTGCTGTTCATTTTAACTTGACCCCCAGGAAGCCAGGGGCAAGAGATGCCAGTAACCAATCCCAGCCAGCTGCTTTGTAAGTTCTGTGCAGTGAGGGAGAAGTGTGGATTTGCCGTCTGTATGGGTGGCATCTTGAGGTTGGGCCAGGCCCTTATCATGACCCCTGGACTCGGGGGGTCAGGTGGCTGAGGGGCCACAGGAATGGAGTACCGGGAGTGAGGCTCTCCTCCACGGCAGGCAAGTGTGGGCGGGACTCTGGCTAAGGGCAGGTATTCATTCTTCCAGGATGAGTGTAGGACCCTGGACTTCCATGTTTTGCTGGCTTACCTGGATGCCTTAGCTTTTTATTGACTTGCTACTCATTTGTGTTACAGGTAGGTTTCTGCCTGGGAAAGATGAATTCTTCCCTCTGATTACTATCGGGTCAACGACTCCTACCTTGTGACTCGGTTTCTCTCTGGAGGCTGTGCCTGTGGGGAGTGCTTGTGAGGTTGAGGGAGGGCAGTGTGCATCCTGTGTGAGATCAGGATGACCTACGCTGCTATGAGGCTTGTCTTGTGACTTGGGGTTCTTTGTGTTAAGAAAGAGTTAGACTTCATTTTGGGAGGTGGTTGATTCACTTCTGTGACTTGTGAATGTAACAGGTCAGTTTCCCCAAAACACATACCTTCTGTATTATCAAGTAGGGCAGCCTATGTTGCTGCCAGGGCTCCGGGTCCTACATGCATGCTTAAACAGGGGCCTTCTCAGGGGGCTCTTGGCGGCCAGTTAAAAGTCCCGGCAGAGGGGCCACCTCAGAAGGTTACGGTGAGAATGTTTTTTTTTTTTTGGCATTCTAAAGGGTGATCTTCATAGATTTTCTTGAAGGACAAAGGATTGTTCTACGTGGATTTTCACGTAACATGAAAAACTTAACCCCCTCAGTTAAGTTGGGCTGAGAATTTTAAAAAATCACGACAATGCGCCTGCTCGTTCTTCCTGGGGCAGTAAGGGTCGTCCTACAAAAATACTCTTTTTTTTTTCCTACAAAAATACTCTTGAGAAACCTTTCCCAGCCATCTAGCTTTGCTTTTGCTCCTTCCGATTTTTTTATTCCTTCAGCTCAAGCTTTTAAAAAGGAACCTAATTCAAGGATGCCCGAACTGCTAGTTTGCTGTGATGTGACAATTTGAGTGCAGAAGTCTTCTACAGAGACTGAGAGACCCGCAGGAGCGTGGGAACCTCAGTGTCTATGTCCTGAAACACCAGCTTCACATTTTGCTGTTTTTCTTGCATTGAGCTTTCTGTGCTTTGGTAGCAGTCCTTATTTCACCATTTTACCTATGTGTGTATAACGTAGATTTATATGAAAATGTATGTGTGTGTAGTTGACCTGGGTCGACAACAGAAGGCTTTTTGTGACATTTGCTTTTGTGGATTCTAAGGACCATTTTCCCCCGTTGAATTCCATTTCTCTGAGCAATATTTCATAGGTTGTTTTGTTGTTCTGGAGTCAGAGGGAGCTCTCTACTACTCCTGTAGAGAGCCAGTCTCGGAAACTTACAGGGGCACTTTGCCCTGTCTTCCAGGGCTGCTGTGTGTCAGCATCGAGTCTGTGGCAATGCATTCGATGTGTTAGCTCTTTGTAAGGGGACATGGTGACATGGTCTAGGTCAGCCATACCTAAGTACAAGTTAGGTGTTCCATCCAGGGTCCTGTCTCGTCCGTCAGTTGTAACTGAAAAGGAGTAAAACTGGACAGTATAACTTTACTTCCTTTGGGATAGGGAAGATTAATGTTGGGATGAAATTAGTAAGATTTACAGTTTGAGAATAAGGAGTCATAATGTATTTGCTGGCCTAAAATAGCTTGCATAAAAAATTACTTAAGAAATCTTAAACCTCATATAAGTTCATAGTAATAGTAAATCTGCAAGTACAATTCGAAGTCATCTTTAAACATATCATATTGAAATTAATGGAGATGTAATATGAGGCAGCTTCAAAAAGTCTGTGGAAAAATTCCATGATCTTTCCATCCCATTTTTCATTGAACCCTTTGAAGCCCCTTGCACTCCCT